CCCTATCATCTCAAAAGCTGGTAGATACTCTTTTTATTATCTAATTCAATTTTTAGTGTCACATCGAATAAAATGAATTGCATTTGAACTGAAAATAATCATGCGAAATATGTCATTGATTTTTTTTTGCATAGCTGTTAATACTTGTTTGAGTTTATTTCTTTATTAATTTTGACGTGTATGTTTATTGTGTGCTATCAATCATCAGTGTATGTCAATAGAACTAATCATTCGTCTTCTCGCTCAAGATTACTTTTTTTTATTTCTCGTCAAAAAAAGCAGATTGCAGAATGCGAACATATTATTTGTCCCTTGGATTCCTAGTAGAACATAGGGCTTCAGTAGCACGTCGCCATTTCACTCTCTTCTCTGCAGTCTTCAAAACCTGGCTCCACCACTGCCCACAAGCTTTTGTTTCTTCCATACACCATCTCCTCCATGTCACCCTCGCCTCAAACGCCCAACTCGTTGTTTCCCCTTTGGATTCCACTCGACGACCTGGTGCGTGATGTCCCCGAACGGTCTTCTCAGTGTATGCGCAATCCATCTCCAACTTCTTCTACTACACATTTGTTGGGTGATAGGTTGTTGGTTGGCTCATTGCCAGGCCAGAACGTGTTCCTTGTTGCTTATTTTTTCTGGCCATCAGATCTTCAGTATCGAACCAGCGTAGGCGTGATCTGTTGATAAGTGTCTGTAGTTTGTTGGAATTGCTTTTCGTAACGCGCCACCAAGTCTCTCAACTATCACATAGAAGCACTTACTTGACGTTGGTGTCGAAAAACCGGATCTTGTTCACGCTTTATGCTGAGTGCAGTAAATCCCCACACTGATTTCAGGTTATTGAATGCCTGTCTTGCTTTTCCGGTCATTGCTTTGACGTTCTCATCTGTGCCGCCTGTAGTTGAAACAATGCTGCCTTGCCTAGGTAGGTAGGTGAAAGAGACTACTTCCTTTAGGTTTCTCCCGTTTATGGGTGGGTGTCTTCATCACTTCTGTCTTCCTAACGTTCACCTGAAATCCCGTCTTCGCTGCCCTGCATCTTCTGTCAACTTGCTGGTTTTTGCCTGTAGATCTTCGAGTTTGTACGACAAGACATTAGACTTAGATCATCGGCGGTGAAATCCAAATCTTCTTCCGAGGTGTTTTTATCGGTCCAGCCAGCGTATGCCCCTCTTCTTGCTCCTCACAGTTTCTTGCATGATCCAGTCCACCACAATCAGAAGATCATCGGTGATGGTAAGCGGAGGCCTTGTCTTACTCCTGTCTTCACTTCAAAGGCGTCACTAAGCTTCCCATTGTGATTCACTTCGCGTGTGGTGTCTTCATATTGCTGATGAATGAGATTGATAAAGGTTTGTGGCACTAAAACCGTAGTGTTGAAGCAGTTGCCGGCCAAATTACTTCTCAGTCGACGTTGTCGAAGGCCGTTCCAAAGTTGATGAAGTTGAGGTGAGGTAGAGAGTTCACTCCCATTCTATACTCTGTTCTATGATGATGCATAGCGTATCGCTGCAATTCGATCCACACATGATTTGTTCTTCCTGAAGCCAGCCAGCCAGCCTGTTCCGGTCGTAATTGTGAATCCAACACATTGCTTAGTCTCTCCAGGATGATGCGGCTTAATATTTTACTTGGGGTGGACAGGAGCATGATTCCGCGCCAGTTCTTGTTCTTGCAGAGACTTAGGTCTCCCTTCTTTTGAGAGTTTGACAAGCTAGCCCTTCTTCCAATCGATCGTCACGTATTTTTCCTTCCTTCCCTCCCTCCTTCCTTGAGGACCTTGTGTAGTAGTGGTGTGAGCCTGTCCGCTGCAGTTGTCTCTGCGTCTGTATTCAGTGGGTCTGATGGAATTCCATCTGGTCCTGCTGCTTTCATAGATTTCAGCAACTTCATGGTGTTCAGGATTTCACTTCTGCTTTTGTCAGAGGGTTTTTGTTCACTGGTAATTCTGTGGCTGGGTTGCTGGTGGTATTTCTGGATGAGCTGCAGGTTGTTGTTGTTGTTGTTGTGGTGGTGGTGGTGGTCGATTCAAGAGTTTTTTGAAGTGGTCAGCCCATTGTTTCCCTTGTTTCTCCTCTTTGGTAAGTAGGTTCCTTCACTATCTTTCATTGGTCTCTTCTGCGTTGATCTCTTCCCTTCCAGATAGTATTTTGACTATTTGATATAGTGTTGTCAGGTCTCTCCTACATGCAGTCTGTTCTGCTTCAGTTGCCAATGTGTCGTAGAAGTTTGTCTTTCCTCGCACTCTTCTTCCCTTCATTGTCCAGTGTTTTATGGGTTGTACTCAGTTCCTCCTTTACTTGTTCATCCTTGCACTGCACTGCACTGCACTGATTTGTCTTCTGCATCACCATCTTCCTCTCCCTTCTCTATCAGCTTCCATGTGTCCATCGAGATCCATTCCTTGTCTTGTCTTGTCGTGTCTTGCCTTGTTTCTTCTTCTCTCCTAACAAGGTTATGTAGGTTTCTTTCCACATAGCTTCAAAGAGTTCCAGTATTCTTCCATGCAGGTTTCCTCGGGGATGGGCATGTTGCCTAATGTCTCCCATTCTGTCCTGATGGCTGACTGAAGTGAAGATGTTCCTTGTAGTTTCGTCCTTCAGTCTCTGTTATTCGTGTTGAACTTGAACTCTAACTGTGGTCTCTAATCACCAACTTCTGTGAAGGCTTTCAACTTGATTTTGAAGTTAGGTTCGTTGCACTAGATAGTGAGTGGTGTGAACCTACATCTGCTCCCCCCCCCTTTTTTGATCTGATCTTGTGTCTAGTAGGCTGACTGAGTCTCCATCTCCTCTTTCTTCAGGTTGAGATGAGTCAATCTGATTCTTAGTGTAGCCTGTCCATCTGGTGAAATCAGATCTATGTTGATTTGTGAATATCCTTGTGGATGTACCCAGTGCCTCCAATCACCAAGTCGTTGAATGCGCAGAAATCTGTAAACAGTTCTCCATTCTCATTCCTCATTTCACCGAGTGCTTCTCGACCCATGATTGGTTGTCTTCCTGTGTTGTCTGCTCCCACTTTGGCATTCATATCACCCCACGCATTAAAATTTTGATGTCGCCATCTGGGGTGGGGTCTTGTCCAGTGGTGATTGCAGTTGTCTGTAGAATTCCTCCTTCTTCTCTTTATCTGTGTTGTTTGTAGGTGCATAGCATAGCATTGTATGATTGTGACTTTCCTTCCTTTTCAGTTGAATCTTGCTGTCATGATCCTAATGGTTGAGGAGATTGGTTCCCACTGCATGAGAGCCTTTGATGTTCTTTGGAGGGGGACATCATGATAGCCACTCGAGAACTGAGTGTTTGTGGTTGTCGTGTCGTTTGGGTGACAAAATCGGAGTAGATTATTGACTCTGGAGTTGACAGTTTGGAGAGTCCACTTCCTTCCTCTCTTTTTTTGCAGATTGCAATGACTTCTCTGCCATACCGTCTCATCTCTTTTGCAATGTGGGCAGTCTCACTAGGTTTATGCATGGTTCAGACATTCCATGTCCCCATTCTTACTTTCATTTTCATCGAAAGAAGTCACATCGGCCGACTGGCTTCGGGAAGGCTTTAACCAACCTGCGTCATTTCATTTTTCCTATTTAAGCGGTGAATAAGTTTGTGTTTTATGTTTTCATTGTGCTTTGAAGTTTCTTTAGCGATTGTGTAAGTTTTCCAGCGTAGGGTCGCTATCCCTATACCCAACCTTCCCTCTTTATCTGGTCTAGTAACTAGTGAACTAGTTAACCATACGAGGTTATGCCAATATATATTTCAGTGATAAAGGGGGAAATAACGAACATGTTCATTAGGTTGGGTATTGTTGGGTTTGACTACTGATTCAAGAATATATATATTGTTCATTCAGTCAAACCCTCTTGGTACTAATTTTTTTGCTCTGATTAATATTCGTCTGAATAAGCAGTAAAATGAGTTCTTCACTCATAAGAATTCGATGTGTACGAATCACACTTATAATATTAGAAATTCGCTAATTATCACATACCTTTTGACAATATCAGCGACAAAGAAAAGTCAAATAAATCATGGTTATTGTTGCAAGCTATTCAGAAGAAGAGGACGTATCATAAACTTCAGCTTGCAGAGTACCGTGTAAGAAAAAAGCACACTGATCATGCCCTCTTCTCAATACTACAGTGCACTAATTATGTGGAGTTTTCTTTCTTATTTTCTTTAAACACGTGCTAAATACACGCTAACAGATACTCTGCTTGGAAGGTTCAATTATGTGTTTCTTCGGAAAGTGTTTCTATATGACTTTAACTGTAGCTTTACACTGTAACTTATTCAATAAGAACGTATCTCATGATATTGTTCGTGGACCTTCTCATCTAGTCGTTCTGTCACTTAGACTTTTCTTCCCAAGTTTATTTTGACAAACTTGTAGAAACCACGTGACTCTGAAATCATTTCAAAGCTCCCAAAGGTATCCCCCTGTATTGTATGCTAAGTTTGTTTACATTCACTCCTTTATTCTGATACTTAATTTTGGATTGCTTTTACTTAACTGACGAGAAAGAAACGATATACGATGAATTCGTCTTGTTCTGCAAACTTGGTCGTTCTCACTCTTCAAAATACCTATTCTGTCTATGCTAAGGTCTTTGCTTAAATAATCCACATCTCCATCCTCATTTGTATCATTCTTGGCTTGGCATGTCTCGACGAGAACAGTTGTCGACGATTTTGAGCTCATGATTGCAGTGTACTTAACCTTCACCCACTCAGTCTTTCACAGTGCTATTCAACATAGATCAGCTCATTTTGTTTTGGATTTCATCATAGAACCTTATCTGTCCAACCTCATGACTAACTGAATATGCGCACGAAGTTTTCGACTATGAACAAGGGTTTTCGTATGAACACAGTTTCCTACTAGACTGTACTTTTTTCTCTATGCGTGCTACAGATTTATCGTCTTGTTGCTCTCATATTTAATAGGTAATGTCATCCCTATATCTACTTTGATTACCGTTGTCTTGTCTTTAGGGACAGCTTCTGCTTCAGATTATTACCAAATTCAATACTGCTTATTGCAATACAATTGATGGAGTTGCAAAAGACATCGAAACAACAGAGTTGTGTGGTGGTGCACGTATTTGTTATATTTTCCATGAAACTTTCTACCGTACACTGAGTAAAATTGATCCATTAGGCGGTTTATCTACTCTGGATATCTTAACTGCAATCAGAAATGCTACCGGACCAAGGCCTGCTCTATTTGTGCCAGAGGTTTCTTTTGAGTTGTTAGTAAAACGACAAATCAGACGTCTTGAAGAACCAAGTTTGCGATGTGTTGAATTGGTACATGAGGAGATGCAACGCATCATTCAACATTGTGGCGCTCAAGTAAGTAGTAATCCAGTGAGTTTTAAATTCCACTTATTGCCGCTTGTACATCATTGGTAAACTACCCCTCATTGAAACCTTCGTTGTTTGTTATGCCAATTCTAACACTCATTTTGTAAACAAAGATTATTCCTTCCAATAGTTTCTCTCAAGATTCTCCAATTATAAAATGGATTTGTTCTTATCAATGCAGTCTAAGTCAGCGGTAAATATATTTCTACAAAATGAAATGTGAGTTGGGGATTGTAAGCAGGTCATTTTTCAATTTGTCAGTGTTAAGGGATGATAGTAGGTGGTGCCAAACGAGTGATGAGTAATCACAGCAGATGTAGATATTGTAGGGAAAAGAGTAAAAATACAGTTCAAGGTTACAGTTTTTGTTTTTATAGACACACAGACTAATAGAGAAAATGATATTCTCTCTTCTTTCCTTCAGCAGATAGAAAATGGATTGACAAGTAAGAAAAGTTATTAGCTAGAGATAGGCTCTTGTGGAATGGTGAAACATTGAATCCCGGTGATGAGTCAGCGAATGATGGCCTTTTTTAAGAATCGGATCTCATGTTGTTCACAAACCGCAGTCAAGAGACAAGTTCAGAAAATGCTAACCAACGGCATCATTGAAAAGGTTAATAGCTCCTGCAGTTCTCCAGCCGTCCTGCTGAAAAAGCTTAGTGGGAAGTACAGATTCTGGGTTTTTTTCGGTAGTTAAGTATGGTAACTGAACTGAAATCCTGTTGATTGTAGCAGAAACACGCGATCACGTGCAAAATGCTAAATTATTTACTGTTCTAAACATCTGCTCGGGACATTCACAGTTACCGATCAATTAAAGTGACAATGATAAACAGCATTCATTGTGGGATAGAGACAATATCGGTTTATATGAATTGGTTAAGGGCAATGATCAGGAAACCATGGATCTAGGTTTTGTGCTTTTTCGTATCAGCAAGATGTGTCTGCAACTCTGAGCGAACTGATGTCCCATAAGAGTTTCGAATTCATATCAACCACTGCTACAGTCAAAAACGTTACTACTGATTTCTTCAGATAAAATTTGGACTATCGGGTGCGCCATTTGCAATTAGACGCCCAATAACTCCATTTCTTGAAATTTTGGAAAATGTCGAGGTATACAGAGATGATTTGGTGATGTACATGTAGATAGAAAACGATTATCTTAAATTCATAGAAGACGTAGTAAGAACACACTAAAGAGTTTCAATTCCAGATGAACAAAACAAAATCCAAGTTAGCTAACGGAATTGTTACATTGCATAAAGTTGGAAATGGTAAAGCAAAGCCCTTATCCGATAAAATTCTGATGATAAAAACAATAGTAGTACCGAATTCGATACCAAAACAGGATTTTTAGGTAAGATGGCAGTCTGTGACCACTTCGTTGAAATTTTCAATGATTTGGTAACACCTCCTTATAAGTTGTTGAGTACACCTGAATCAATGTGAACAGAGGAAGCACAGAAAATATTCGACCACATTAAGGAACTCTCAGACCATCAGCAGATGACTGAGACCACCAGTAACGGATAACCTTTTTGCTTTGTCGACTGACGCTAGTGGTTACGGAATAGATTCAGTTCCTGGACAGACCGAAGAAGTTGCTGAATAGGCCAGTCTTTGTCTCCTGACATCTTCAAAGTAAGAGTATTCAACTTTTCAGAAGGAATACTCAGCGATAGTTTTAAAGCTATGCAAATGGAGACCTTATTCACAAGGTCAGTGTTTCTATATCGTGGCTGACCGCCAAGCCCTACAGCAGTTGAAGCGAGAAAACTTGATAAAAATTATCACAGTTGATGCCACATGTACAAGAGAGCTATTTACCTGTTGATCATTTACCATACAAAGAGAATCTGTCATCTGATTCCTTGGGGAGATCAGACGAAGAAGCCGAGCTGCTGGAGTTTACGTACGAAATGAATGAATTGGAACAAGAACCATTCAGACTTTCTCCAGCAGAAGTTAGAACCCAACCTTAGTTCATTAATACATGAGGTAACTGAGGGAACGGATGCAAAACAATTGTCATCAAATAGGAAGTTGACAACATTACTCACAAAAAGGAACAGGTTACAGTGAAGTTCCATCAGTACTCTAACCTGTCCAGATAATGTTGGCAGCTGTGTGGCGGTAATTCCAGAATCCCTACGCCTCTAGATGATTCATAAATGTTGGCAGCTAGTACATGCTTGCTTCTCAAGGACAACGGACCCGCTATAATAAAGTATATACATGTACTGGCTAGATATGAACAAAAATTGGGTAAAGTTTATATTGACCTGTCCTCAGTGTCAATTAATGAAAAGTGGTCGGTGCTTTCCCCCCTCATTGCAGTCGATCCCAGTTTCCGAAGACAGCTAATGGCAACCGATACCTGCTGGTGATGGCGAATTACTCTACACATTGGGTAGGTGCCGTGGTGATTGGGAATCAACGCATGAAGACATTTACTGAAGCAGAAAAACTGTGGAGTGCAGAAAATCGCATTACTAGACAATGGTTCCCGTTTTAACAGTAAAGAATTCAAATCCCGCCTGGAACAGCTACGTATCAATAGGACACCAAAGACGCCATATCAGACAGATGAAAGGTTTGAGAGACTGGAACAACTGTACAATGAATGAATGGATGACCTCGGTGAGAGGTAACTGGGGGACAGAACTGTCACTAATCTTGTTACTACGTCACACTTCTGCATAAAGGACAGCTAAAAAATAATCCCTTCAGCTGATATGTGGTAAAAGCCATGGTTACCACTACAGAATAAGACCTGGTCTCAGAAATAGAGACGAAGTACAACGATGTTGAAAACTGAATGAAAGCAAGCTATCAGAAATGTAGTAGTAGAATTCTGAGTAGGAAGAAGGCAAGAAATGAAAACTGCTCGAAGTAGGAGATTTAGTGAAGTGTAGAAAATGAAAGTGTATGGTAAGACATTGACCCAGATCATAAACGCTGCCGTCAACGCGAGATGGACGATACATAGTCACCAAGAGGTACGGTCAGTCAGTATCAGCAAGGGACCTGACAATAATGCGAAACGGTTGAAGTTACTACATATGTCACCACATCAATAAACAATATGTTGTCTAATTGGACTTTTCTTCAATATGACCAAAGTGAAAATATCACGGTTGCGAGGCAAAAGTAGTTATTCATTATTGTCATTTCAGTAATCCTGAAGGCATAATAGTGAGTCAGTTGTCTTTCATTATACTCTTTTTTGGGCACAGATGAAACTCTTGGAAGCAAAACGGGAGCGAACGTTTTTGATACGAAGTTTTGTGTAGTATATTCTAAAATTTGCGGACTCTACCTTGGTTTTTTGTTAAAGAGGAATGGATAAGGTACATCAAAGGAAAGTTAATTTAAAGGCTAATGTGAGGGAATTTACTTCAATCAGTTGAATTAAAAGTAATTAGTACTCGTCTTAACAAGTAATCATTCTGTATGTCTGTGACGTAATTTGTGTTATCAACATATATGTATCACCATTGAATTAAATGTAGTAATAAAACTTTTTGATTGTCTACAGCAAGAACTCCTTCGGTTCCCCAAGCTACACGAACGAATAGTCGACGTGGTAACTTCTGTATTACGCCAGCGCTTACAACCCACTAATCAAATGGTTACCAACTTGGTAGCCATTGAATTGGCATATATTAATACGCGGCATCCTGACTTTTCAGATGCTCTCAGCTCACATCGACAACAAGCTCCTGGACTGGACACTTTGGTAATTTTATGTATATTAATCTCCATTTTTTGTAAAAAAAAAAATTGGTACTTATTGATACCTGTAGTTTCCTGATGCTATACTGAATTAAATTGCTCGACCTCTGTTGGCTTATGAGATCCTATGTGGATACCTCGACACTGCCTAAATATTGTGTTGTAGTTTACTTGGTGTCTAGCAGGGGGAATACAGAATGTGCGTTTTGTTCTGTGTGGGACTTGTCATCTGGACGTACCTGCACTCCAGTGAGTGATGGTGTTCCCACGGAAGCTCAAACCCAGTACTCATGACTTCAAACGCCAAAGCGTTGTCCACTTGGTCACCGAGGTACGAGTTGAATTCAAATTGATGACTTCGCCTTACTTTGATCCTAAACGTTCATATAGCTAATTGATTAAATTTGGACTAAAATTGTTATTATCTTCATTTTATTGCTGGCGTCTAAACACTATCTTTGTTAGCATTAACTTGTTAGTGAGTTGTAGAGTCTGGAAAAAAGCCTATAACACCGAATTGTCCCAACTGTTTCAAAAATCTGGTTGGCAGTTGGGTCTTGTAGAGCACTCGGCCGGAAACCCAGTCGTAGCTGGTTGGAATCCCACTGCGGCCCAGATTTTCCTTCACCTTCAGTTATCATCTAGTATTAATAATAGTCTCCCAAATCACAGCCATCTCACTGAAACAGTCAGAATGATAATGTATTCTTAATACCACAAAGATGTGTTATTTGAAGAGTGTAATTTTCTACTCTTGCCCCATACAAACTAACGTGTAAAATAGAATATTTATGTGACATTGATCACTTCAGACATAAATATTAAGTTGAGATCTATTGTTCTTCCTGATTTTATTTACTAACGCTAAAGTCTTAATGATAAATCTACGTTTCAGAGTCAACCGAAACTTGTTTCATTTCAATTATTTACATGATGAGTGTTTCAAATAATTCTGCAATATAATGCAAACTTGTTCAGCGTTAGATTGTATTGTAAGATTCAAACGAAATTATTTACTGATTTCAAGATTCGTACTGTTTTTTTTACTACTTCTCTGGTAACAAAATTATACTTCTTTTGATTATAGTTATTCAAAGAAGTCTTTTTTATAACTTGCGATCACCAACAAGCAACTGTCAAGCAGATATCCTCAACTGTACTAGACACAATAATGGAAGTTTCATTACACTGCAGTACTGTTCGGCAGACTTCTAACTGTTGTCTATAGATAACGGCACATCTCTCTATAGAAAATATACGCTTTTACACAGTATCTTGTGTCAAACAGTTTTATTGGAAATTATATTGTACTTTTAGAATGCATCTACGTTATACGTCATAGTTCCCTTGAAATTTATTTTCTAGAACTGAATGACTAAATACATTAACTTGTTACTTTCATAGACAGTCTAAAATCCTTATTCATCAATAGAAGTATTGATAGTTAATCATAAATGATAATAATGAACATTCTTGTTGTTTATCACTAGTCATTGTCACCACCGATGAAAAATTCACATATTCGGTACAACCCTAATAGGCCAACCGAATCAACATAAGGATTATTGTAAAGCAAAAACTCACATAACTTCTAGATCAGCAGAATGAAATATTCCTTATGGTTAACGGACTACGATGAGTATGTATTTGTTTCAACGAAGATTTTATGTCTAAAGTGCAAGTCGTTATTGGTGCATGAAGCCTACTTGACAATTTCATATCTTCTTTCTTGAATTCTACTTTTGACATTGAGTGACCTTTAGATTTTAAAAAAAATTGTTGGTCAAACGGATTCATTTTTGTACTTCTGTATATAACACGAATTGATCGACAATTGCTACCAAACCCTATGGCTATTACTTTCAACTTCAGCATCCCAAGTAGCAACCGGGCCATTTTATTTACCAATCATTATTTTGATGACGAATTGTAACTTCCTACTACTCTTCATCGTTTATGTATATGGCAAACAGTGTCTAAAGTTATCTCGAAGTGTATATCTAAAAATTCAAATTGACTTGTCACAGTGAGTACACTGGAAAGGCAGGAACAAAGATGGATATCTATCCGATTTTTTCGAACGTATCCCAAAAGTAGTAGGCTAAAAGGTTCATGAGTGTAGTCGTTCGCCATTTAATCGATTAAAGATACAAGATAGATGTATCAATTGGTCAGTCTATCGAATCTTACCTTGTTTTGAAGATCAGTTTTCTAATGATTTACTAATTGAGCTCGGCCACGAACGAGCGAAACGGTCATCAGGTGTTTAAACCACTCTGATCTGGTTGGCAAAATCTATAGATCAGCGTGAATGGTTTCTAACTACTCGATTTGTTCAATAGCATATTTCGTTTTGAAGAATTTATTGCAATCAAGAAATTCAAGTCTGACGTTTTCATCTAAAAGGAATCTATGGTTAATCTGACTTCATCTTGGTAGTAATATCTTCGCTTAATTACATAACCTTTCTGATGCAGATTTCTTGGATAGGTGATTTTAACTCAATCTTCTTCTTTCGCCTCTCTCTATGTATGTTGTTTTTACCCTTCGGTAAAATTCATCAACTGTTTATTTTGCTGTTCGATATTTTTTGTAAGAAATCAGTTGCTAAAAATCCTTGAATCTTCTTCCTAATCATTTTTAGTGTTTTCCTTATGGTTTTTACCGTTTACATCACAATTTCGTTTCCTTACTGGTTCGTCAAAAGCAGTTTGTCTTGATTATATTTCAGCTGAAATAAGGTTCCAAATAAAGTGAACTCATTTTATTTCTCGTGAAGTTCATTTCTCATTTTGAACATTTGATATTGGAGAAGATCAGTACTTCATACTGGAAAATCCACTTCAGGTCTTATACAAAACACACCCCAAAATTAATTATTATAATTATTCAATAAGACCTTGTTACTGGTCTCAAACACACACCCTGAAATTCTTAGTTGTACAATACCCTGGCATGTACAAGTTAAGGGGTATTGCTTGACTGAGTGCAAACAGCAAAGTATCCGTACTATCAATTCATCTCACGACATTACTTTCATTTTCTATTTAACTTTTTTCCTCTACAAGATTTACTATCAGTTCCATCCTGTAGAGATATATCTTCTGTCTATTGACTCACATTTCGATATCTACTAAATAGAAAGATAACGGTCATCAGCGAAAAGCATCTGATTCGACTTTTTCTGTATTTACATTGTCTACTCTGATTAACAGTATGTATTTTATTTTATTTGTATCCTGTTTTTATCTTGTGGTTACCTATATTAATACTTCTCAGGTTGTATATCTTCATGATTTGCTCCAGGATAAATGTCAAATATTCTAATTTATTTTGAAGTTTATGGGGCTTTTATTTATTTCAAAGTAGTATTCATCACGGACTGACATCAGTCAGAGAACTATTAAAAACTAGTGGACACTAGACAGCGATCTCTTTCTAGTGTGGGACTTCTCAGCAGTGCGCACCCATGATCCCACCAGGGATCGAACTCAGGACCATCAGGTCTCGTGACGAATGCTTTGAGCATTCACTGACTGGGTCGGAGTTCAGTGATCTGGGATTTCTAACGAGAAGCCGTGACCTGTAAAAGCAACCAGTCGGAAGTGAAGTGGATGCCAACTGAAGACCTTGGTAAATAGTCCTGTTGTATTGTGAATTGACAGAAGTTGCAAACTGTGACTCCGTGACTGGGTGGTTAATGCGTTTATCCTGGGATGTGAAGGTTTTTATTTCGGTCCCTGGCGGGGTTATAGGTACTCATCACTGAAAAGTCCTTCAGTAAGAAGAAACAACTGTCGATGGCTCCAAGGTTTTCAATGCTTCCCCTAATTTATATCATTCCGTGATGAATACTATCTTAAAATATTCTGATGATAGAAAGTCACATGACCAATGGCTAGCCACTAGTTTCCTTAATTAAGAAAAAAGGGCCTAGCCATCTTTGCCGATTTTCACCTCAACGCATGTTTCCGATTCCCAGTTTACTTACTTCTCCCTTTAAACTGTATCACTTATTTGTTCATGTATTTCCAATTGCCTGTTTCCAGTCACTTTACGACCAGTCAGGGGCACAAGGGTCAGTTTTGGGAGCAGCACTTCGTAATACATCTGGTTCACAATTTAATCGTCGCCTTACTGCATCACTTCAACATGAAGAAAAAACCAATTCGTTTACTGCTAATGGCCCATCTCAAGAACTACATTCAGATAATTCACAAATTGGTTTAACCCTGACCCCAGATATTGTAAGTGTTTTTGTTTCATCATCCTTAAAACACTGTTCTGAATTTCTACGCTTGTCTGAGTATCGAACTCGACTCAGTAAAAGTAGTTTTTTCCCTAAAACAACAGAAAAAGGATTCAATAATACGTGTTGTCCATATGACTGAAATGATAAATAGGGTCAGCCAAAATGAAGTGGGATGTGTATATGTATCACGTTGCTTGATGCTATGTTTAACTGACTGCTTTCACACATGAAAAAAGTGTCCATTCTAACCAAAAAATTGTATATACGTGCAATTTTACTGCTAAGTGGATGAAATCGCCCAAAAGTCTTTTTGCTGAACCACGTGTTCCCATTTTCTCATATCTTTGTGACGATTTTTGGAGAGCGTGTCTGTGTCGCTGCGTAGTATTGTATGTCTCTTGAAGTGAAATGTTTTATACACTATACATTTTTTGCATTGTATCTTTTTTGGTGAAATGGTAATTCTTAGCTATAACCGACTTAACTATTTATTACACTATGGTCTAGGTAGGGAGTTGTGGCTCATTGGTTTAAGACGATGACTTTTAACCAATGGTTCACAACGTTGAACCCTGCTTCACTTAACGAGGTTTGGGCAACCAGGTAGTATCATTTCCCCTGACATATTAGGTGCGGCTTATTGCTTACTATACGAGTTTGCATGAAGTTGCTGAGTGCATTTCGATTTCAATTTGACACTAGTGTGCATTAATATTTACCCAATAATTTTTTCATGCCCTCCTCTTTCACCCAAGACTTAGCTTGTCACTGTTGAATTCCAGGGAATTTAGATCACAACAAATAATAATCTAATAAATATATCGTATCAATCAACTACATGGTGAAACTCTGAAAAGACAAACTTTGATGAGCTTCATTATTATAGTCCATAACTGAACTAACTAGAACGAACATATATTATCTATTGTGAAGAAGTATTAGTAAAAGTGACGTATAAAAGGGAAGGGAAGAGAGACAGTGAAAAGTGAAATTGCACAATATGTTAAAATGACTCCAAGTCAATCAATAACGACAGTGTTCAGGCAGACAAAATGATCGAAGATAACTGGTATAATGATTATAACATTGGAATGAACTCAGTCCACTATACATAAAATGAACCTTAAGTTAAAAAACAATATAGAATGGTAGCTTTTGAAAATAAAGTATTTTTCTGGAAGTATTGAAGTTTGCAACTGTCTTGCTGAAAAGCTATATGAAATTCTCTTACCTCACATATAAATCCAAGACAACTGTGTGTATTCTATGGTTTTCTATATGGATAATTTTCTGAATTTTCCAACCAAGTCTCATTAATTATTTTGACATATGGCATTGGCTTTGTGGAATTCATACAATATACGCGTCTGTACTGTTGACAGTGGATTGACTTTGTCCAATTTAAGCTGATTACCAGGCTGAAACACTTAGGTTATTGACTCAAGGTCCATCAACACCCCCACCTGCTCTCTTACCAGCATTGAAGAATTCGTCGAGTCTCACCTGGCATATCACAAAAGGTCTTGGCATTATCATAATGATTCTCTACGTTAAATACATCTCTTTAATGTAGGTTAGCTCAATGATTTTCTGTTGTTACAAATAACGCGAAGGAGCCTCCTACAAACTTTATTCAACTTGCTAAGCTTTTCACTCAATTTTTATTCATGTGTATACATTACTTTGCTTTCAAGCTCCATATTCCTAGAAATCAATGAATTCCTTTTTCTGCTCTGGAAAAGAAAACTAAACTTTTATCTTAATATTTTGTTCTACTGTATTGAAAAAAGGCGATAATTTTAGATACTATTCACCATATTTTTGTCAGGAATGCATTTCTGTTGACTACATTATGCTAATTAAAACGATTTAGAATAGATCAAGGACAAAGACACTTACAGAATAAAATGAGTCCATCTTACTTCACGGCCTCTCATCAGCTGCAAACAGCCTACAATTGAAATGAAATATTAGTTGGAGAATAGTGACGTAGCATACTTTAAATATGCAGAAATAAATCAAGATACAATTAGCAATAAGGTAATGAGTCGACAAAATGCAAAATTAATAATTACAAATCTCAGTCAAAATCAATGACAGCTTGTATCTGATGAGATTGAAAATTCTGGAGTTGTGGCAAGAGGGGGCAACAAACAGATAAGAGTGTAAAAGAAGGGATTGTTAAAGAGCTAGCAGGTTGCGTAATTATGTGAAAAAAATGGAAAAACGTTAGGCTGAGTGATTAACAGTCAGTAAGTAAGTCATAAAGAGATGATGCCAAAATTATAAACAGTTACTAGGGTAAAGGAAGGTTGATTACAGTCTCTTCCTGGGTAAAAATTACTATTGTTATTATTATTAGAACACAAACCTTGTACAGCAAGGGCACCCAGAAATGGACCACACAAAATAACAACATTATGAAAATATAAAGCTAAGGGAAATTGAAAAAAGAAGGTACAATAAGAAGAGAATGACTAAAAAGGCAGTCCAATGAGATACGTCCAAAACAAAATATTCATTAATTTTCAACAGCACAAGACAGAAGGAAGCTGCAGCGTAACCGCCACTGGTCTCAATCCCTGAGCTATATCTGATGACGTCTCAAGCCACTGAGTTGCGTGATATCTTGGAGAGAGAGAGACGGGGACGTGATGCACCAACATTTGTTAACCCGATTACACTATCCTTCATCCCACGGCGCCACGTCGTACACTGACCACCCCTCCGCTTCTTCCATTCAGGGCCAGGGCTAGCAAACAGTGAGTGGTGCGGAAGCCATTGGGACGATATGCATAACACATGTCCAAGCCACCGAAACCAGTGTTTGCAGACGGATTCCCATTGAATCACAGTCTCCGTCATGCCCAGAATTAATTACATGGTGGTGACACCGAATACGAACAATCCTACGGAGATAACGATGATTGAACACAGTCGTCTCACATCCTCTGCTCGAAGAGGCTAAGTTTCACAGGCATAGAGCAGAACTGCTCGCACCAAAGCGTTGTCAACCCGACTTTTTACGGTCAGACTAATGTCGAGACGGGGTCAAAGGTTTCCCAGCTTGGCGTATGCTACTGTGTCTTTTTATATGTGCTTTTCAACCTCATCATTTACACAGATACACGAACTTTTCTACTACTTCCAACGGTTTACCACCGAAAGTGAGCGCACGTACAGGCTTCTGTCAATCTTTCAAAAGTACTTAACACTTTGATGGTGCAAAGCACGTACCATACATGCGGGAACTAATCCCCCAACTGACTAAGAGCTATTTAGGTAGCCTATGTGTTATCGCACAGTATGTCGATATTATCTGCATATTCAGGGTCGTTTTCCGGGTAGTAAATGTATAATACTATCACCCACCTCCTTCACAACTGGGTTATTAAAAAGGTCAAGTTGTCCTTCCTCGAATCACTACTTGATTGTTAGTCTCATCTTCATTTATTTCTGTATATTTAAAGTATGTTATGTCATTACTACTATTATTTCATTTCAATTGTAGTCTGTTTCCAGCTGATTAGAAACCGTGAAATAAAATTAACTCACTGTATTCAACTAGTGTGGTGGTAGTTGGGTATCTTCATCACCTCTGTCTTCTCTACGTCCACCTAAAGGGAATGCCGTCCTCGCCTCCTCTTCTGCCAACTTATTAGTTTTCGCCTGTAGATCTTCGAGCTTGTTGCGACATTAGACATAAATCATCCGCGAAATCCGCTTAAATAGTAATGTTTCCACGTATGTAAACGTCGAACATATACATTTATTTTGCCACTTCACAAACTGACCTCTTGTCTGTTTTTCTCCGGTAACTTTCATGTACTTGTCTGATTGATAGTTTCCCGTTGGTTTCAAAATATGATGTTTGATGTATATTGCCCTCATCACTAGCTATTATATCTTATATTTTCATTCTGGTTCATCTGTTTTAGAAAGTCAATTGGTAATGTTACTACTTACCAAGCAAGCATTTTTCATATGGCGGCCTGCTTAAACCCTTGGGCTACCAAAATCTTCCACCGAACATATTTGTTCCTTGAACGTGTCATGTACTCTTGCACATTTTTAAACTGTTTTCAACTCTCCGTTTCTCGAGTTAATAACAACAGAGAAAACAGGTTACGTTATACAGAGGTGGACTATTTAGTGCAAAAAAGTACATCCATCATATTTCTATCTCTCGGTTTTTTAGCTTCAATTGCAGACTTTTGTACTGACTAAAGGAACCACTACCATCACCACCAAACTTACTTTCGCGTTTCTGTCAATTCTTCATTAGGAATTGGATGTTAGTCTGAAATCAGCTGGCTGTTTCACACTATTGCTTTGAAAATACGCTTATTATTGACATCAGTCAGATGTAATAATCATTTTGTCTGAAAATATTGTTCTAAGAGTGACCTTGTTGAAAAACTACACGCTGAGAATCCTATGCTGTATCATACATAGTGTTTGGAATAAAGCTATTATCATTATTATTAGTTGTTGATGATCAAATTGTATTTTGATTGAATTTTTTTACTATTAATCAAACTATCTGAGATGAAAGCCTTGGTTTGGCAGACTAACATTATTGATTTAGAAGAAGCTGCTGGTTCAAACTGTGCGGCGGCTCAAGTTTTCATTTCACCTTCTGAATCATCACCCAGTACTAAGTTTTTGCTCAGTTACTAATTTATGATTCCCTTCTACCAATGACAATCATTTACTTACTTTGTTACAAATTCTTGATTTCAACCAAACTGACTAATGTTGTCTAATATTTTCATGTTTATTACGAAACTTTCATTCCTATGTTGCCGAAAACAAATGGGAATGTTTGAGTATTTAATACACTATATTTTTTTCTACTATTATTTGTTAGCAAACGGAAGTTCAGCAGCACAAACTGACTCCTAATGAACGGCACGATTGCGAAGTAATTGGTAAGCTGATAATCTTATTTCATTGATCAAGTTATTTTAATAATCATTTAAGTGTTCCAACTTTTATTTTTTCAGTTTTAGTTGTGTTTCATTTAGTGTATGGTAATTTCAAATCCTCTCGCATGTATCAAGATTGAAACAGTCAATTATTAATTTAGTTTCTCGTTGTTATACTGGATTGAATTGATCCACCTCTGTTGAGCATATAGGCTCCATTGTGCAGATGCCCCGATATTATTTGACTATTCATTATGTTTTAATTTACTTGGTGATGACTAGCAGGGTAGTCCTGTCGTCAGTTGGATGTAACTGAATCCCAGTGAGTGATATTATTCGCGCTGGGACTCGAACCTAGCACCCATCGTTTCAAATATCAAAGCGTTATCTACCCATATTTCAACTTACGTCGACCAATTAAATCCAGAATAACAAAGGGGAATTACAAGTACCAATAGATAATAATAACTGATACCTGTTACACAAGAGTTGGATGTCGTATCTCAGTGGCCTATCGCGTAGCGCTTAGATGTTTGAAGCAATGGGTATTTGGTTCGACTCTCAGTGGGAACAACACTCACTAGAGTGCAGGTACATCCAGCTGGTGAGTTGCAAATACGACTGACCAAACGTGTGTCCTAGATTCCACTTCTAGCTACTACCAAGTAAATTACAGTCAGTTAGTATCTCTATTCCCCACTCAGTAGACGTGGTTCATAGCCTCTCAGTGAACACATTTATGACTAAGTTGGTTTGATCAATCTAAATGAAGTTCAGTTATGGGAATGATTAAAAAGTGTCTACTTCTAACCATCTGTCAGAAATCTGAACATTATTTTATCACCGTATTTGAAGTAATAATATTCCTTTTTATAAGAGCAAATTATAGTTTAACAATTTTAAGACAAGTTGTCCCTTGGATAAATTCAAAGTTTTTCATACAAAATAAGTTTTTCACATATTGTGATGTAGCAGAGAGTTTTCAACTTTTAAGCTAATAACCAAGTAAATGTCAGTAAGAAATAATATCGGGTAATAAGTTCCCGGCTTATTTTTTTCAGTATATGGATCAAAATAAAACCTAAGATTTTCCACTGCTTCTAAAAATAATGGCTTGTGCAAGGATCGCATTCGCATTCCTGTAAACCAGAAAATTAACAGCCCCGAAGTCATCGAAAGTGATAATGTCTACAGTATCTTTGGATCACTAATGCATTATAATTACCGAGTATTGTATATAAAGCCAAATATTATGCGCAAAATACTACTGTAGACAGATGCGTCGATTAAAGGATATAATAAAGAAACAGTAAATATGAGTTTGTTTCCAATGCAGTGCATTTACTCTCTTGGCTGATAAGACAGTGATTGTTTTGTGCCTATTTGGTGTAAAGAAAGCTTAACTAAATGTCTTGTAACCAAGGCTAGACGGATATGCTGCGATTATTCGGTAAAAAAGCAGATACATTACATTCATAATATAACATGCTGGTAGAAATTGGTTAACTCCATTATTTTATAAAGAGATAAACAGGCAAAATTGGTCAAGAAATTTAAACAAATGACTGTTCAAAAGAAATCATTATTCATGAAGCTCCAATTTATAGGAGACGCACCTGGTGAAGTCCTATTCTAGAGGCTATCTACAGCCATCAGACGAACCTTCTATGCTCCTAACCTTTGCTTATCATTTTCTAGTTGGCTGATAATTATCGTTCAAACAAAAAACAAGCTGTACAGTTTCCCACTTCTATGTGTGTTTATCAATTCATCTGCTCCTGTGGAAGAAAGCTATATTGGGCGTACAACTAGACAGCTTAACAAACTTATTGCTGACCACCTACCGTGGTGGTTAAAAAGGGACAAGTGAAGGCAATACAAAGTCCTATTCCGTCGCATTTGGTTGATAGTTGTCATGTAGTAGATTAGACTGAAGCGTTCAGCATCATGTATCGCATCCCACAAAGTCTTTCGAATACAATTCGCATACTACATATAGCTGAGGCTATGGGAACTAGAATAAGCAACCGTAGTTTTTGTGTACAGAAAAAGTTTGTGTAAGGCTTCTCTCTGCCTTGGCCAGAGAAAACTTCATCAATGATTTCAAAGATAAATTCCATTTTTCACCCCCCCCCTCCCCCCCCGCTTTCACATACATGTCTTTTTTGCTTGGAATTTGATTATCTATACGCTTCATTCTTCAGTATTAGGCAACTTTTATTTATTCTAAGTTTTGAGCTACATTGACTGTTTGCATTTTTCACTACCGCAATATTCTCATTATTTTTATTACCATTGAAATAATCAAATAAGTGAATAAATATTTTTATTCTCAGGTTATGAATTTAATGTCTGGATATTTACTAGTTTCTTACTTCACTACGTTGTAACCACAGCTTAACAAATTCACCATGATTGGTTTAATGCCTTATATGTCAGAAAAATTATGTATGTCAGAGTAAAGCCTCATGAGACCTATTTGAAAACAATATTGTGCGCTTATTGTATGCTTTAATTTTTACTATGGGAATATCAACCTTCCTAAATGGTTGTTTTAACAAAGTCGAGGCTTGTGTTTGTCAACCATCCACTTTAATAGTTAAGCGTAAAATCTTATGGATCCCGGTCGCAGCTGTCTCGCTGTCGTAGTAGTTGTATTCACCTATCGTAATTATTCATCCGACGTATATTGACTGGGAAGCCTGTTCACTACCCAGTAACGAAAAACAGTGAGTATCGTAGCTTAGTTGGTAGAGCACCGGGCCAGAAACCTGATAGTTGCTGGTTGGAATCCTGGCGTCGCCTAAATTTTCATTTCATCTTCAATCATCACTCAGTATCAATTAAAAAAACAATGAAGCCAAAAGTTGTTTGTTTCATAACTTCTGGATTAAAACACTACAGACTAGTTCCAGGTTAGTGCGTGAAGTCTCACTCCTGATTTTACTAAGGATTAACGGCGGTAAAGTTTTTCTTGAAGATGCTAAATGGTGACTTCAGCAACGTTGCCTTCCGGTTACCAGGAGAATGAGTCAGAAAAAGTCAACCAAAAAACCCCCACCTCCGTCTTTCACGGAGTTCCTTTGCGTTTTCCCTGTAACTGGAAAAGAATTGACCTTATGCAATGTGGGCAGTCGGAAAGTGTCAGTTTCTCCATACTTATATCACTACTCATATTTCTTCTAACCACACTACCTTATGAAGTTTCTCCGCATGTATTTTGTAATAATCCTAAACCATCTTTAACCTCTCGCAGCTTTGCGACCTGGGACAACGAGTCCATAAAAAGTATCTCTGATTTGAAACTGCGCTCCAGACTTCGTATTAGAACTTTGAACGCCTGGATAACAGGCCTTATTGATCACATCTGTAACATCTCTCACCGTTTCTGAGTGGGATGCTTTTCAAACACATACAGAACTTAGATGTGATCATTCACTTGCTCTCACCTGATCAGAGTAGTGACTCTGTGGTGTTCTCGTTCTACATATCAGAGCACATTCATCAGCTAGCTCTTGTAACCTTGCAGTTGCAGATGGGGGATTAAATGCTAGGATTGACAACGAACTGCTTCATTGGATCTCAACTGATAGTCATCTGTGATCTCATCTTACACCGCTGTTGTTAGGTGTCGTAGTTTCGGTCCATTATATTCTATTTTGATAATATTTCTTTCTGTTAATCTTTGAAACGTCTGAGCAGACTAATTTTTGAATGATATCTTAGAAGAATGGCAACAATTCCTAACTTGTCCTAAATATGGTGGTGTCAATGCGTAGAACTAATTGCAATTTTCGTCACTCTCGTCATCGTCAAACTTAAGACTATTCATATTGCGATTCAGGTGATTTTGACAGACAGAAACAACAAAGAGCCTGGAAAACAATTTTATCCCACTTTACATCAACACAGTTGGGGAAAGTAGTCAACAAATAGAGAACAGATAGCAAAACAATTGAAAAAGTCTAGGTATTGTATGAAAGATATTAGCTGGTTGGAGGTAATCAGCAGCAAGCCCTGGACGCCGGTTTCGTGACTGTTGGCACTCGTCAGTAAGGTATATCTGCAACCTCTAAGGAACTGTTGTCTCCTCTGAGATCCGAACCCTCATCACTGTGTTGCATTCACCGATATTACTACTGAGCTATTCGGTTCGCTACTGATTAGCACTCAGGACTACATAACGTAAAATTGGTTGTTCTTCAGGGACCATTCACTTTATTTTGTAGATATAAGATCAATCTAGACCCAACAGTTATCTCGAGCTTTCTATATCTGAGCTGTAGCTAAGTTATAGACAATTATGGACCCCAGAGTTATTGTTACCTAAAGTAGGTTCTATCTGCTTATTGCAGGATAGTTTTAATCCATTCTTATAGGAGTGAACAGTCCTTAGTATATACCAGTTAGTAGAAAGTCTGCCTCCCTCTCACATTTCAGTTAATACTTCTATCAAGTTGATTACTAGTCCTGAACCTTCATGCTTAGTGACTTTTGGATATACCTTATCAAAATCAATTACCTTACCTACTTTACGGTTGTTAAAACCTTCTTAATTTCGCTAAAAGTTGACGTTTCATAAGAACTGTCTCGGGAATGGTAAACGCTCTTCATTCACTTTTGACGGTATATAAATCTTTGCTGTGTCTCTATTTGTTTGTCGTTTACTCATTTCAGTGCAGCTCATTTTAATGTTCTGTATTCATCGGTAATTTTCCTCTCTAGTCGTATTTTAGCCAATATATTTACCAGATGCAGTATTTAGTCAAGGTTTATTTTTAATCGTCTGTTCATACTTTAGTTTTATGATTTCAGCTTAATGGAGTTAGTCATCAAATTGACTGAATATAAAAAACAATCATCGTGTAACCCAGTAGCTTAAACAATTCCTGTGGTTTCCGAACGTATGTTCCAGTATGTAGTCGTGTAAATGTGGTTTTTTTAACCATCTCCATGGTTGCATCATTGCTAAGCAGGCTATTTACCTAGTGGTAGCGTCTTAATTCATCTCATGCTTAATCTGAAATGTTTATTTGACGTTAATTCATTTCACTTTGATCAAATTTAAACCTGTCATTTTTCTGTTTCATTTTTGTTTCTTTTTTAGGTAGACTTATTCGCTCTTATTTTCTGATTGTTCGTAAAAATATTCAAGACACTGTTCCAAAGGCAATTATGCATTTCCTGGTGAATTTTGTAAAGGATAATTTACAATCGGAACTTGTTAGTAAATTGTATAAGCAAGATGAATATGATATACTGCTGCAAGAAAGTGAACGAGTAGCTCAACGTAGAAGAGAAGCCTCAGAAATGCTGAAGGTGGGTATCCCTTTGAAATTCAATTATGGTTTACTTACATCCACATTAAGATTATGTGGGTAGACCATACTTTTAAAATCTCAAGAAACTATCACTAAATATTCAAGATGACTACCTTTCCTTGTAAAAATGGGCACGTTAGTATGTTTAAGTGCTCAGCATACCATCTACGATTTTGACAGAGATAGGAAAATGTGGACCATTGGATTCCACCCCAGTAGCTCATTAGTAACATGCCGGCCACAGGACCTGAAGACCCTGGGTTCGATCCCTGGTGGGGTAGAATCGTGTATGGGTGCTGCTGAGGAGTCCCATACTAAAACGAAATAGTTTGCCAGTGCTTCATGATCTGCAATATTCCTGCAGCTAATATCAGTCCCTGATGAATACTAACGTGAAATAAATAAAGGCTATGTTGACTATTGTCTCTTACCTACCACCTAGTCAGCATTGTTTCAAATACGGGTGGCGGCACAGATGAGGACGTCAAAGCAAGACAGGCCTTCAATAACCTGAAACCAGTGTGGAGATCTACTGCACTGCACTCAGCATAAAAAGCAAGATCCGGATTTTCAAAACTAATGTCGTCAGTGCTTCTATGTGATGATTCAGAGATTTGGTGCGTCACGAAAAGCATTTCCAACACACTTCAGACATACATCGACAGCTGCCTACGCTCACTCGACACTAACACTGAAGATCAGATGGCCAGAATAATAAGAATAAGCAACAAGGAACTCACTCTGACCTGGTAACAAACCAACCAAGAACCTATCGCCCAACAAAGGAAAGTGGAGATGGATTGCGCATACACTAAGAAGACCATTTGGGGACTTCACGTGCTAGGTTAGACCCTCGAGTGGAACCCGCTTTGGAAACGACGAATTGGGCGTCCGAGGCGAGGGTGACATGGAAGAGATCGTGTGTGGAAGGAACGAACGCTTCTGGGCACTCGTGAAGCCAGGTTAAGAGGACTGCAGAGAAGAGAGTGAAACGGCGACCTGCTACTCCCCTCGGAACCCAAAAGAAAAATAATAATAAAATGTTGACTATCAAACCTTAGATTTTTTGGGTTTAAATAGCTTAATTATAGTCTCATTGTTACAGTCGGATTGTACTCTTTGAGTAAACACTAGAATGGGATATTCTCGTTATAAATAGTTTATTTAAAAAAATACTCTATCCAAAAAATAATAAACCTGCCTTATTTTCTCATTTTAATTGCTATGCTGTCAATCGTGATTACTACAGACTTGACTCAGGTCCACTTTTACGTAGTTGCTGAGTTGTGTTGAATTATTTTGACTCAATACCTTGTATTTGTATTTGGCGAATGTTTTAAAGCCGAAGCTCATTCAGCAACCTTGTGTACATTCGTGCAGTAGTGGGCGATGAGCCATACATTTGAGGGCTAACTATACTAGTTGACTTCCCAAACCTTGACAGGTGGAACGGGGTTTAAACCCGTGTCTTTAAAAAATAATGGGAACAAGGCTTGTCAAATTTCTCAGTCTCTCTGGACTCTCACCTCTGTGGGTGATGTGTTTATGGGAAGTATACATAAATGTACTGGGCTCAAATGCTGATGGTAGCTTGATAAATTTATCATAAGAATAATCAATGGGCATTTCGAAGTCATTAGCAATTGGTTGCTTATTAATTCCAACCTCTTGGCTTCTTTATATTCATTAATTGGTTACGGATACAATACGCAGTAGTGTGTGGTTTGCATGATAGTAATTTTTAACCAGTATTTTTTTCTTAAGAATTTAATTCTATCTTGTTTAATTCAACTGATGTATATGTGTTATAAACAATTAGTTGTTATTGAAATTTTCTTTTATAGGCTCTACAGAAAGCCAGTTTAATCATCGGTGAAATTCGTGAAACTCATTTATGGTGACTCAGTATTTTTGTATAATTTAGATTGAATAAACTCTTTCTCCTTATCAGTAGATTGTTGTTTGTTGATAGGATAGCTTTGGTTTTCTTGATTTTTTTTTCAATACTCGCTTAATGCCTTCATTTGGATGAAAATATTCATGTATGTGTATCATTATTGTTATTATTCGGTTCCACATGCCATGTGCATATGTGTACATTCCTCTTCTGTTATTTGTTCGCTTGTGTTCATCTCTGTATTGATTACTACGCTGTAATTATACCTCTATTGCTAAGGCGCTAATACTACTTAAAAAAAATACTCAATTCACGCCTCATACACACACACACATACAAACGAATAAATTTGGCATGATACAATTCTACTTGAAATTGTCTCCTCTTCAGTAGTGTATGAATTGATGATCAGTGTCATACTCTTTGTTTATCATTTCCTAGGTTATATGCCTTCATGCGTTGATTTGATTTCTCCTCTAGTTTAGCAAAAGTGTCTATCTCTCTGTCTTCAATCTGTATATGCAAAGGGCTATTCTTTGTTGTCACTGTCTAATCATAACTTGGATGTTTGCGTAATCTTTGAAAACTATTGTAGTTACTTTTCTCTAGCATATTTCTACTATATATTATCCTGTAATTTTAAATCGGCACATTTTTTTCCTCTCTTACTGCATTATAAATAAAACAGTTCATCTTAGTTATGTACTGGAAAATTTCATTTGTTTTCACTCTTTTCTTGTTGGATGAACAATTAAGTTTTCTAGTGAATGGTCGAAGACACTTAACAGGCGATTCCTCAACTTTTTTTTTAGTTTTTACTAACATAAGTTTCGAAATCTATTGACTGGTCACTAGAGGGTGGCAAACTTCATGTTGTCTAGTCTTATATGCTGATTCAATTCTGCCGAAATCCACTCAGTAGGCAGTAAGTCACACTTATTGTGTGTGGACTAATGTTATTACTTGGCTACTCAGTAGTTGTAGTACTGTTCGGAACCGTGACCTACTAGCTGGAAATCAACTCCCTGAATCAATGAGCTACAACAGTAGCTTAAGTAGCGTATACAAGACATTTTGGATAGTGCAGAGCATGACGATGCATTCCTCAATTTTAACTGAAAACTGTCAGGTTATATAAAATGAACGCCGAATGGCTCACCATCACATTAACATTTCTGTCTGATAAAATTTAGTGGTGTTGGCCTTTGTTCTTATCTACTGGGGTTTGGAATGTGAGATTAACTTCACCCAGATAAATATAAATGATCAGTCTTATTAAGTCAGAATAAGTAATTCATCTATTTAAAAGTGACTACTAATTTGCGTTGAACACTATGGGTCCGAATCCTATTAACCCATCAACATCCCTAGTATTACACATATGTCGCTTGGTTGTATTGTGTTCTCTGAGCTGGGTTGTTTAATCGTGAAACTTTCATCATCTTTCTAGACGACATCATCAGCACTAACTTCAGTATGAAGTGAGCTGTCAATATCTCTCCGTGAGTGATTTAGTGGCTTTTGCTCTGACGATGTGGTCTGTGATTGGTTGGTTCCGTTGATTGTGTCATTGACTGTACAGACTTTCCTGTTGGCTGTTCCCCTCTGACTTTTCTTATTGGTTGATAGATTGAGTCTATGTCTATACATCTGTTGATTGCTGACTGGTCCGAATGCCAAGCTTCTAGGACCTCTCTGACATTCTTTGTGTTTCCTCTTTCTGTTGAAATTCAGTCCATGTCCGTAATTATCCACGTGTATTGAAATGAGTGATGAAATGTTGTGGCGTTTAGTAGCCAATTGGTGTTCATGTAGATGAAGGCGAAGAGGGCGGCCACTTTGTCCAGTGTAGGGATGACCACAGTTATTGCAGTTGATTTTGTAAATGATATTCGGTTTGTCTTCTTTGGTTTGCATGATAGTGTTTGGAAGGAATTTGTTGGTTTATGAGTCACACTAATTCCAAGTGGTTTCAGCAATCTTGTCGTGATTTCTGATATATTCTTTATGTATGGTAGGATGATGCGTTTATTGATTTCTGTCGATGATTTTGTACAACTACAATTGGCTATTAAACGCCACAACATTTCATCACTCATTTCAATACACGTGGATAATTACGGACATGGACTGAATTTCAACAGAAAGAGGAAACACAAAGAATGTCAGAGAGGTCCTAGAAGCTTGGCATTCGGACCAGTCAGCAATCAACAGATGTATAGACATAGACTCAATCTATCAACCAATAAGAAAAGTCAGAGGGGAACAGCCAACAGGAAAGTCTGTACAGTCAATGACACAATCAACGGAACCAACCAATCACAGACCACATCGTCAGAGCAAAAGCCACTAAATCACTCACGGAGAGATATTGACAGCTCACTTCATACTGAAGTTAGTGCTGATGATGTCGTCTAGAAAGATGATGAAAGTTTCACGATTAAACAACCCAGCTCAGAGAACACAACACAACCAAGACCATTCACCTGAGTTACAAGTATTCTCCATCACGTATGTCGCTTACTGGTCAGTGATAGTAAACTTATTAGCTGAATGCAGCGCCAAGCATGATGTAAGATTATATCGAGTTGCAAAGCTATTCGGTCGCGTTGATTGACACTTATCAGTTTAAAGGCTTGTTATCCCGCATATGCATTTTCACATAGGACCGAAGTATTCTGAAAACTGCAGCAAGCATTTTTTGCATCTTACCTCTCCACACGAATAGTTTTCTGGCGAATTCAGAGATACGCAACGAATCAAATACTTTGGTAGCTTTAGTATTCTTCGGAACCTCATTCCTTTTTTTGTGATGTCATCTGAGTGTTCATCCTTAGCCCTAAGCCAACACCTTGATATCATATTAGACAACCTTATTTGATACAGTATTGTTTACTGGGTAAATTATTTTAATATGAAGTTATACTCTGGTAATGTGCCCAAGTTTTACTCTTACCATCATCGATAATAATTTCTGCATAACTATAGGATTCAATTAAAGTATACAGTCTAGAGAGGCGCAGAAACGACAATTAAGACCGAAGTCATAATTTCCTCTTTCTAAGTGACTGGCGTGCATACATTTTCTTAAATTATTTTAAGCAAACGCTAATCTGGGGGTTACAATTCATTCTAAGCTGGATTTGTTAACTAAGAGTAGGGAAATCTAGGCGGAGTTTCCTTTTGAGTATCAGGTAACAAACTTCTCAGTTTGAAATGTTGATTCAGCTGCACAGAAAATCAAATGTCTTAACTGACTACTGTTGAGGATTTCGTCTACTGATTCTATTATAATAAAATAAAGGAATGTTAAGATTAATCAGAACAATTTATATCATAACACATTCTCTAGTGATGATTGTTTCATAACAAGACATGAATTAGGGAAAAAATTATTGTAACAATGACAGTGTAGAAGAATGTGTACGATCTATCTTGACCAGACTAGAATTACAAGTAACGGATTTTCTTGCGCTAATAACAAATGAGAATAAGCAACAGCGGTGTGATCACGACGTTAAGTTTTATCATTCATCACTTGGACTTGTTGATATTTGTTACTTCTGTTGCTTACTAAATGCACCTGTGGGCATAAATAGTCACTGTTCTTGAGGCACATCACGTTTACCAAATTGTTTGTAGTCTATTCACTGTAAGGTGTTTAAAAACAACTAAGGTAACACAAGCGGCGTAAGCTGGAAGGCTAAGGATGTGAGTTATTCTCTGAGCTAACGTAACATTCGCCAACTGAAATCCAAGCTGAGAGCGCAACTCAGTTTGCACATCCACACTCTGAGCTGCAAATATTCGGCGCGACTTTCAGCTTAAATTCTCTTCACGGTGAATTTCATTAGCATTAATTTATTACACAGATGATCTTGACGATTCGGAGTCAATCTGATGTTCAAAGCAACGTAACGGAAAATCCAAACTCAGAAAAAATAAATCAATTATACTCCATGCAATTTAGTTTGTAGTTGAACATTGGAAGGCCTAACTATTTTTTTAGATCGCCAACATGTGAATATCGACGTTATTACAATGCATTGTACAGCTGTCGAGCTGTGATATCTGACTCCAAATTTGTGTACGCTTCCCGATACACTATCACCTTTCTCATTATCCCCGACACTACTGATCCACCTGCTCAAGACAGCGTAAGCGTCAGGAGATAATGCGAAGTGTAAAGCAGGATGTTGTATCAACAAACTGGCCAACAAAAATGTTTAAATCAGTACTGTTAGACAAACCTTTTATTAGGTGTTAAATATACCAACAAAATACTATGAAATAAATGCTAAACAGCTGAACCTGTCATACAGCTGTAGCCACAAATAATCCCTTAAAATCAATAGCCTACGGCTCAACATTGATGCTGACCTTCATATTTTAGCGGACTGGCTAAGCTGAAGGCACACGTTCAAGCATCGACGCCATTTAGCACGTTGATGTGTTACGTTGTGCTGCGCTCATGCTATCTTCTAGTCAGTCAGTCGAAACGCATAGGTATTTTGGCACGGTCTATGAGATACACTATTCCACCTGGCTAATCTATTGTGTTCTTTCTTGGTTTTGAGTTGGAATCCGACAATTACTTACGATAAACATTCATTGAGCTTGAGATTAATCAGTCAGACCTTTTGAAATTATTGTTTTCCTGATAATCTTCACACGTATATTCTCTCTGGAGAAAACGTCTTAAAAATTTCTGCCATAATGTAGTTTATTTTTATCAGCTGGATTACACCCAGCCATCTCGATGTGCATCGTTAAGACGAAATTGTGTTCTATGACATCATTGTCTTGACAATATCCAGTCCATTGTTTTCTGTGCTTCCAATTTCAGGTAAAATAACCCAACCTTTTTGTCTGCATAATATAAATAATCCATTCCCATAATGGCTAGGCAAAGTTTGCCTGACAGTTACCATATCATTCCCTATTTCACCACTCTTACTTTTAACAGCTGCAAAAATAGTCAGTGGGATTCATCACAAACTAAGCTGGAAGTCAAAAATTAAATCAGGTGTTTATGAAATGCAAGGTCCATAGGCAGATTAGTTCAGTTCAAGGAGCCGAATTGTTCGACTGAGTCTCATGTAATTCCAAGTTGGGTTCCAAACTAGCAAGACGTTTATCTGCTGTTTAGACCACCTTAAACAACTCTGCTGATCGGTTTACGGCTATCCATACTGATCAGAAGTAAATCTCTTACAGTTAAAGCCAAAGATATTTTGAATCCATAGGATGAATTTGCAGAATAATACTGAATATTATCCTTTTTCTTGTAATTTTCCATTGCCATTCGGGTTCAAATTGATGGACCCCTGTTAACGTATAGTCTCCTCATCACATTGCAAATATGATCGATAGAATTCGTTCTGCACTCAGGACTAGACAACATGAAATTGGTTGCACTCCCGTGACCGATCAATAAATGTAAGCCAATCCTACAGGAGGTCAGTCGTGGCCCGAGTAGATCAGTGGTAAAGTCACTGACTGCAATACTGAGTGACGCGGGTTCGAATCTCAGACGGGACATCATTCCCGTCAAGGTTGCAGATACGCCCTGCTGACGAGCGCCAGAAAGCACGAAACTTAGATCCAGGGCCTCCTGCTGATTGCTTCCAACTAACTAACATTTACTAAGGTGCATCGCGATGCTCAGCTTCCTAACTTGGTTGCCACATTGCAAGTATGATCGATAGA